TTTTAAATTCCCGTTAGCGTATTATTTCTTAGGGGTTTCAGTATAAACCAGAAAGTGTACTCGTACTGACAAGTTGAGTAAAGGGAAAAAATCAAAAGATTGTAAAAAAGGTTTTTATTTGAGCGCTTGCGCCTCGAACAAAGGCAATAGCTATAGTAGCTATAAGTCGTTATTTTACCACCACGGGAGAGCACACAAGTTATTTTCGCATATAGCAATAACGTTTTATGCCAAAAATGGGAATGGGAACCTAAGGGTTGGAAATCTGACGAAATGGCCATTTTACGCTCAGGTAAATAAAATTTCCTATTTCGGGACGAGTCAAATGGTCTGTATTTATCAGACGCCACCGTCACTGACAATAAAATGGACCTACACCATTTCATTTTCATCGCCATCGTTGTTATAATCATAATAATATTGCTATTATTGTGTTCCTCGTCACCGATAAATATCTGTCGTAAAATTTAATCGTTGGTCGTGTGGGATGAACATACTAAACGCATATGTAATATATATATATATATATAAATTTATGTTTTAATTTAGAGTCAGTACTTTTTTAAATGTAGCAAAGGAGAAAATAGACATTCTTAAACACGTTACCATACGCAATATTCACAAGTCACCTATTATAAAATTTAATTTTTATTATTTACGAGTGACACACACAAAATCATCACTTACCTATTTATTATATTGTCTTGAGTTAATTTAAGCTATAGTTTGTGAACAAATATAGTTACAATATGTAGTTGAAATTCTATTTTGTTCGTACATTCTCATTTTTAAAATTATTGCAGTTTTTATTATAATAATGTGTTATGTATGGGTTTATTTTTTTTATGTTATCTTTTGATGGTGAAATAATTCAAAACGATTAGGCATTATATTTTTTTTTTTGTTATAGAAATTATTAATTGTAATTTATTATTGTGTTTGGTAGAATCATTGATAAACCATGATGATATGATTAGAAAGAGCATAGATAAAATAATGAGTGGACAACTACTCAAGGATCAGTTAGAAAAATCATATTAAATAATTGTAATCTGTTCGACCATTTTATTAATTCATTAAAATGTTTGTTTTATTACATTGCATAGTTAATATATTTTACATTGCTTGTTTTTATAATATTATCAAGGTTGTCCAATGGACGATTTTAATTTTAAATGGCTTGAAAATAAATGTATTATCCAACAATTGTTTTGCTTACTAAAATTACTGAGTGTTTTGTAGTTTGTGGGTAAACTCAACATTTTTAATTATGTTTATTTAAAATTACGTATAAGAACATTTGCAAAACGTTTCATAGAATAAATCAGTTTAATGGGTATTGCAGACACAGTGACATTAAGGATGTTAAAAAAGTTTGCACCATTAAATTTAGGTAAAAGCAAAAGGTGTACGATAAGTTAATAACATTAAAATCAAATAAGTTTAACTGAATTATAAGTGTTCATTTTTACCAAGATAAAATCGGTTTTTGGACTTCTCTTTGTCGTAAATCATTAATATAAACTTAAATATAGGTGCTCTAATAAAAACTACAGTACCCTTCTTAATTTTAATTTTAATTAAATAATTGTTATATGATATTTATTGCAGTTTCTTGATTATAATTTTGAAGTGTACCCAGAAATATCGAATTAAGTGATTATTAATAATATTAATAATACATATATACTTGTATCATAGATTCGATAAGTAATTGGACTATAGTTATCTATTATATTAGATTATTATACGTTATTTGATACTAATTGTTCATCTTGTATTTGGTTTTGAAGGGAATGCTATAAATCTCATGTGGCACGCGTAGTATAATAAATTATTATTCGAATAGAAAAATGTATAACACGAACGTGAGTGTTGAATTTCGATTGGTTGCATGTGTAGAACTAATACATTTTAGCCCATGGCAAAAATAACGTAATGACATTAAGAACGAATGTGAGAAATTGTTTGGCGAATGTAAACAGAAAACGTACTGTGAGTTTAATTTTTAAAACCCGTAGCGTTGAGTGCTGACTATCCAAGGCGGGCGTCGGGCAGCTTATTTGGCGCACAAAAACCATATTGTGGGTCGGAGCACTTTTATGCCGCCATCGTACACTCTGATGTTTTAACAGCGGTAAGGCGGAAAAAAAAGTGTGCATGGGTGGTGCGTCGTGCGTGGGAGCGTGGGAGTGACGATGGGTCATCGGGGGCGAGGGATTTCCACCATAAGAAACATTCATCAATTTTAAGGGCTGTCAATAGTTGTATTCATTGAGGCTCTTCGCGTGCAACAATAACAACCACAACCACGACCGCAACCGCGACCACAACCACATCAACAACAGCGCAACGTCACAACGACATACTTGTACGTATTCTTTTCCCACTTACGCATCTGTCCAGATCAATAATCGAATAAAATACAAAACAAATATTGGAAAATAATAATATTATTTTCTCTTACGGATATCTCTGCCTACTACAGGTGTGTTCGGTAAGTATGCAGTGTATATTAATTTGTCTTTTCGATCGAAAGAATAAAAACTTGATCTGGAATACATTGAAAAATGTAAACGCGGTGGCACCGAATCGTTTTGGTTTGCTCCTGTTTGTTTTCAATACTGTTAACTGCTGCTGCTGGTCGATACATTGTAACATGCACGAGAAAAATAGCCAGGCTTGACTGTATTTTTTTTCTAGTATAAAACTATAAAATATGTATGTATTGACGTCCGTGCATGTAAGTTTGAGTGCTGTGAGTGTGGGTATGCGTGTGTGCGTGCGTGCGTGCGTGCGTGCGTGTGTGTGTGTAAAGTATGGTGAAACACTGCAGTTGAGAATAATGGGAATAAAAAGGAAAAATATATCAACTCTAATAATATTTTTTATGTCTTATTCGCTAGAGAACACTCGTGCAGTCAGTTTACAAAGGACACCACCGCTGTCACCTATATGTTTGTCGTTTGAAAGGGGACAAAAAATATGTATTTATTTGTGTTTACATCTCGGAAATGCCGAGAAAATATTCTTGTTGCGTAAACACACGATTGAAAAACGTCGTTTATATTATAATACATTCAAAGTTGTCTCGGCGGAAAAGACCTAAATGTTTTTCGTAAACGAAGATTATTTGGACTTGCAGTCATCTGTGATAATAATTGTATGAACACTGCAGTATAAATACATACTTTATATTTGATAAAAATGTGTATAAAAAAATGCACAGTACATTAATAATATTTAGGAATATAAATTATAGGTGGACAGCCAAGTTGAACGTTTTTAAATATTGAAAATATTGGAATTGGATATGATTTAATAAAACTGTTTCTCTTAAACGATATAAATAAGTATGAATAATGTATTATGTCGTAATAGGTTCGTAATATAATAGTCTATCTATTAATATATTATACCTTAATATGCCCATGCTTAAGTGTTTTACTATTTACATTAGGTATTACAATTTTAAACAATTTTAAATTATCAATTTAATTCAATATTAGTTTGAAGATAAATATAAAACTAAATATACAAACAACGTATATGTTAATGGAACCGAAACACCAACAAAGTTGGTGATAAACTAATAGTAACCAAAGGTGTGGCTCCTTAAATTAAATTATAAAAATGTTAATTATAGAAACTTGAAACATTCCAACCACTATTATTATTTAACTGCAATGAAATTTATAAAATTCACACTGGTCTATGGACTACGGTTTTCCAATACATGTATAACAATTTGAAATATTATATTTCATAATATATTATTAATATATTTTTTATTTATCAAACATTTTTAGAACCTACTGTCCTACTAATATACTAAGAATAAATGACTGGTGGCAATATAAATATATAGTTAAATATTCTCTGAAATGTATGTGATAAACCTTTTAATTTTCCTCACATAACCGTTTTTCATGTATAATGATTAATCATTGAATTAAAATTTAAAACATCGGTTACAGTGACCTTTTCTACTAAGAGCAACTTGACGCCTAATATACAGCGGAGCGAGTTTCTCGACTTTATTTAATGTGGATGTTTACCATTGAAAAAATACAATAGGAACTATGCAATATGCATATTATAAGTACTTAGTATAATGCAAAATGTTCATAGGTTTCATGGTTAAATGCATTTAATATAGTAGTGCCTATCTTAAAATGTTCTAAACACTTTGTGGTTTTTATTTAAAGTCAAATGTTGAATAATTATATGTAAGATGAAGCTCAAAGTAAAACTCCGTACCTACTAAAGGCATTTTCTACGAATTTAGAACTATAAGGAATATGTAATAATTAGCTTCAAGTTGAATGCAAGTGCATATGTTAAGTGTAATAAAAAGACTTATGTTCTGTTTCAAGCTTTTTACAGTTGAAAGGTGAATAAGAGGGAGGGTAGAACATTGAAACAAACAAATCCCGATAATCGAAAGTACTCGAAACGCATAAAATCTTGATTACGTGTGCGTCGTATAATAATAGCTTTTTTCTTTTCTTTTTGTAGGTAATTTAAAACTCCAAACTATATCAAAAGATATATCTCAATGTATAATATATTTTAACAATAAAATCATAAATCATTAAAAAAATAAATTAGTGAAAAATAATGAAAAAAAACGTACCAACACAAAAAAAGTCAAACGTTAAGTGATAAAAATACGATCTCGATATGTTTGAATTTACACCTGTTACTAATCATGGAACATTATGATAAAAAGGAATAATTATCGGTATAAAGATGTGTGACCGTAACGATACTCTAATATTGCAATAAACATACCTATTATAGGAAAATTATAAAGGTGTGATAATAAACGAAATAGGTACTTAATATTATTGATGGAAAACTGAAACTGACGTTTTAAAATATTTCTGGCCATAGACTGAGATATTATATCATGGCGCAAAACACTTGAGTCATCAGATGTAGTGTAACAACAACAACAACCACAACAACAACAATAACAATAATATGTAAACACTTACCGTGGTGACGGTGCTAGCGCTGCTGCTGGCCCGGTGACCGTGTTGGCCGCGTTCTGGGGCGGCGGCTGCGATTTTCGACTCGACCGGGCCAACGCCGTTCTTGACGCTGATCTCCAGGTAACAGTGGCTGTTCTCCAGGTGGCTCTGCGCCCGCCGTTCCTCCAGCACGATCTTTCGGGCGGCCCGGAAGATCTTGTAGTACACCGTGATCATGACGGTCAGCGGTATGTAAAACGACCCCAGGGTCGCGTATATCTGGTAACCGAAGTTCTGGCACACGGTACAGTGCGGTACCCCGTCCACCGTCGAATGCTCGTTGCCCAGTATGAGCACCGGCGGCAGACTAATGCACGCTGCGCCCAGCCATACCAGTGACACGCATACCAGCATCCGGCGAGGCGTCCGCTTCACGCCGTACTCGAGCGGCTTGGTGATGGCGTAATACCGGTCCACGCTGATCATGCACAGGTTCAATATGGACGCGGTGCAAGACAGCACGTCGAATGACACCTGCAAAACCACGAGTAGTCGTTTTCATCATCGCCGTAGGTTCAATGATATTATATTTATTTATTTTGTTTATTTATTTATTTAAATGCAACAAAACAACATTATTAATAATTATGAAAAAAATATATTTTTTATAACATTTTACTTCATCGTCATTTTACTTTTACTTTTTTAATGACAATAGGTATACTTTCATAATTTCATATTCCAAACAAAATATTTTTTGAAATACCTTATGTACATAAAGGATATATTGTATTCATGTATTGAATGAGTAGTTCATTAGTTAAATATTTAAAGGTTAGATGAGTTGATTAGAGTTGCACCAGCAGTGAGTATACTGTAAAATATTGAACTTCACTACTTTGCTCATCTAAACTTTAATTACTTATTAGTGAAAAATTAATTCGCAACTTGTTAGAAATTCAATTTTTACGAACTTATAAAAACGCCGATAAATAATTTTGTTCTTAAAAAATGAAAACTAATTTTGTCATTCAAAAAAGTAAAAACTTAAAAACTGATACCAATGAAAAAATTGTTCAAATATTCTTTTGTAATGGCATGGAATTATTCGAAAATATTGTATTAAAAAATTTGATGCTTTTCGAAATACTTATCGAATGTAGACTCTAAAATAGATCAGCTTGTATGATAAAATATGACACAAAGCGTTTTATGACCTCGTTTGTTTCTGTCAACAACAACAGTATGCGTCTGTTCGATATATTTTATTAAATATAATCTCGTAAGATTTTATTAGAGATCTATAATATTATAACGTTTAACCACCATATATTTTCCGTTCAAAAATAAAAGAAAAAGAAAAATTAAGTGTTACAAAGTACCATAATATACTAGTTTAGAACAATAATGTGTATTTGCTTGTATATTTTAAGGATTCAATTTAATATGTTAAGACTAACGTTAACTGTATTCATTATATTGGTTACTTAAAAAGTAGAAATAATGATTTCAAAAGTAAATATTATTTTTATGCATGTTCTGATAAAAATGTAGTGCTTCTGGCGTAAACCAAGTTACACTACATTATAATTTATAATCTGTTTATTTTTATTGATCTTTGAGCTTCGGCAACTAAGGCCATAAGCTTTTTCTGAGATGTTATGGTTCGTTGAAGAACACGTGTTTTTATGAGGGGAGGGGGGGGGGAAATTCATCGCCAATAATTTGGGTGTTTATCTATCCGGGAATTAGTGACACCGGACGGTATTTGACCTCAGTAGACATTAAATACTGCTGCCAACCAGCGCACCACACTATGCCTCATTCTGCATATTATTATATTGTATAAAAACACCAACATAACTTAAAAAATACAATTTTAATCAATAAAAGGTCATTAAAAGGTTTGAAACTAAGTTAATTTGGACCAATAGCTTATAAATATTAAAACTAAAACTTAAAAGTGGACACAGCAATATTCGAAAATATATAAGCATGTAACTAGCTCTATTAGAAACTTATAAAACTTTATGTATTATTTTATTCTATTTTCGGTTGTTTGGTATGCATAATATGATTCTACATAATTTTAGGTGGTTCAAATTAATTAAATATGATTTTGTACAATTTAGAGGCAGGTGTTATTAAATAGTCATACTACTTTAATTAAAATTTGTATCGTGAAAACAATTGTTTGTATTATTTGCATGTATTTCTAAAAAGGAGCCACTGCAGTGACGTATATAATGCGATTACGATAGTAATCGAGGTTTAATGAATAAAAAAAATAAATAAACAAAATTGAATACATTTTAGGATTATTTCTGTACATATATCTATACATTATAACAAATGATTTTTCTTGAAATTTATGTTCGATTTGAATCGATTTTTTCATTTGGTTGTTTTTTTTTTTTTAGAGAACAGTAAAATGATAATAAATAATAACTTCTGTTATTCATATTTATTTTATCATTCAGAATTAACATTATAAAATAAAAATGTCAGATATAATTTTACTTTGTCTATTGTGTGCTTAGTTAGTAGTTATATATTATTTGTAATGTGTATATTGCAGAACTGTACTGCAGTGTGCATATAATATGAACCGATAAACGATTGACTTATCGAAATGAGTATTGGAATTGTATCTAATAAAAATGTGTTTACATGAATATAATATATTCCAACTGTAAAGAATACATGAATATTAAACGTTAATAACATAGTATTGAAATGACAAAATGTTTACTTAAAAACTGTTTTATCCCAAAATTAAATGGCATCGCAGCGAGTAGGCATATCATAATTCTTAATAAAACCATTGTGTTAGTACTATTTTATAATTAGCTACCTATTGCTAACATAAAATTTTCAACCGGTTTATACTTAGTATAAACCTTATTCTCGGTAAATATGTTACTTAGATTTATTACTTTGTTGCCTACTCAATGATCGACTTAACGTCTGTCAGAAACCGATGTGTAAGACATTTTTATTATTAATAACTACTAAGTTACTAGCACTTATATCGTCAAGAATAAGGGCTCTATTAATTAATGTAAACATTTTTCTGGGTTCACCCTAATTTAAATGCTTATAACTACAATATTGTTTACTCGTTTGAAGGAACATCGAATTATTATAGATCAACAAAAAACTATGTTCAACCGAAAAATAAAAGGTGAATTTGATCGTTTAAAAAATTAAAAATGTAAAAAATAAAACATAATTTTTTCAAAACGCATACATTCTACGATACGGCGTATAGAGTCCATACCTAATATGCATAGGTAATATTATACCTATGGACAAATTCATAGTCAAAATACTATTTGAACACACGTCACACGTACCCAAAGGTCGCACATGAACGTGCCAAACGGCCATTTTCCAAGAACCAGGTAGAGCAGGGCCATGGGCATGACGAGCAGCGCCACGCAAAGGTCGGAGACGGCCAGAGACACGAGCAGATAGTTACACGGGCGCCGAAGCTTGCGGACCAGACACACGGCGATGCAGACGAGCACGTTGCCGACGATCGTCACCACGATGACCAGGAACAGCACGGAGCCGATGGTGAACGCTTCCAGCGCCGTGTACGTTGATGACGGCCCGGCGGCGGTCGTTGCGTTCTTTGGCCACGACACCACTGTCTCGTTGTGCTCGTACACTGCGGCCGTGGCGTTGACGCTGTCCATTTAAACGACATCCGGGAACGCCGACCCGAGCATAACCGGCCGGCCACTCAGGTGACGCTGGTGGTCGCCGTCATCGCCGCATTGCCGTCGTCACATCGGCACCATAATATTTCGGGCACACCTCGAGAGATGATGATGATGGCCTAACCTATAATATGATTAAAACATGTTAGTAGGACGCTTTCATAAAGACACATCAACAACGAGAATTTCGGTCGACCCGAAATTTCCAAAAAAATATCAGAACTAAAACATTTCAATGTTAGTTAATCTATGGAATGTATATTATAGCTGATTGCTGTGTAGTTAAACATAATATATCATAATCTATAAGCTAACAACTTAGATTAAAAATATTGATGAATAGCCCTGATATATAATATTATGTTCATATTATCGTTATCGGAATACGTAGATGACTGAAAATACAAAATATGTTAACATTTTAAAATGTACTATGTATATATTTCTATATTGAATTTATAAATCACCAAATTACTTTTCTATAATCAATTGAGAAAAAAATGTATCGAGTAAAGTACCTTATTTTCTTAGTATAGAGCAAATCAGTTTCATTTATTTAAACACAATCTAGGTAAAAATTAGAGAATACCGGTCATTTCGTGATCTAATAAGAAATGCATCCAAAAATAAGTTGATCATACAAAAAGGTCAAGAATCATAACAAAAACTAATTCTTATCAGAATGATATAATCAAAAAGCTTTTTTACGTTAAAAAATGTGTATTATATATTTTAGCGTTAATTTATCTAAAAATAATGTTTTGTGTAATATCAATTACAGTAAAAATATTTTTAGTATATTTTTACTTTATGGATGCATATTGTATTATATTGTAATTTTTGTTTCGGTGACCGGTATTCCCCAATCATCAACTATTATTATTTTGTTAATGAATCCAACTCAGTTATAATTTATAAATTTCGCTAGTAAGAAATATATATTATGTCTATATATTTATTACAGTCCCAAAATGGCAAAACAAATATTTTAATTTCATATAACGTCTAAGGAATGAAATATAATTTTTGGTGTTTTTTTTATTTTACAAAAAAACACCACAATCCAGTCACTTAAGCTACCTGAATTGGTTAAATAAGATATTTTGTCAAAACAGATTTTGATACCCAAACTAAATGAATAAATAATGAAGGGTGACTTTGATAAAAATGCATTAATTAAGATTAATTTAAAATAAACATTAGTCTGTTGGAATCTTGATGTTTTTAATTTTTTATAAAAAGTTTGCTGTAAGCAAATTTGTTGATTAATATCTAAAAATGTATAGGTGCTACTAATGAATTTCCCCCTTTATTTTATCTTTGTGTATGTATTTGTGCTATCTGCTTAATATTTGTCAAATTTACCTATTGTGCTGCTGTAAGAATAATGTTTATATTGTAAATATTTTTCTAAATTAAGTTGAATAAAAAAAAAAATATATAAAATTAAATGTTAACCATTATTAAATTAATTCACTAGGAGAAGTGATGCTCCCTTAAATACTTTTAAACTTTAATGTCAAAATGTTTAGCATTTGGTTTTTTTCTGTTATACAACTGTGCACCATCAATGACATTCTGTTGACAGTTAGATACTTAGATATAAACCTTCGGGTGGTAGACAGTGCGTAAAACATTTAAAGAAATGCAGCTCAATGACACACTGTCGTCGTATGTATTTGTCTTGTCATGGTTACAAGCCTCACGTAGTCGCGTATATCGCACTACTACCTTTTAAATTTACTTATATTCAAATATATATATTATAATTGAATTTAAACGTATTATACGTATTATTTTTGTCCTTAAGAATTAATATACGGTGATTTTTATGAAAATGTGATTGTTACAAATTGTAAAATGTTTAAAACATTTAGTGAGGAGTATGATCAATTAAAATATTGCCACGTAAAAAAAGAATATATTATTCTTGTTTACGTACCTAAGGTAGAAAGTATGAAACAGTTATAATATATTTTTTTATATAAATTAAACCAGATGTATAATAGTAATTCAATTTTTTTTATTTTAATTTATTAGTCAACGACACAATTTTACACACTCTAAAGCTTTACATAAGTGTATCAAATAACTTTTAGCCTAGAAGGTACACATTTATAATAAATCGTTGTAAAATTAATAAGTAATAACATAATAACTTAACTCCAAATCGAATGGCACTAGATTAAACTAAACATTTTTCATAAAATCATGATGTAAAATGTATGATTATAAAATAATGTGCAAACCTAATGAGTACATTTTTTAGTTTTTCCAATAAGTACAAAATAATGTATTTTGTATTTACCAATATTGTTATGTTTTATTAAAAATAAAATGCGGGAAAAGATGAACTTATACAAAGTAAATTCCAGTCCTTTGATAAATACATTTAAAGAAAGATTTTGGCCTGACACTAGATCAAAGATATACAAATCCGTTTAAAAGATTACAAGAGCCTATCTAGTATTTAAGCTTATCAAAATGTGCATAACCATGTACATTAGCTTTTAATAATGTAACATAAGTTAAATAACTCATAAAATTAGATAATACGAGTAATCGAGTTTAAAATCGTTGTATACAATTCTACGAAGAAAACTCTTGTGAAACATTTATAACGTGTTTGATAATAAACAATAAAACATATTCATAAATCAGCATCTAAATAAAATAATAAACAAAAAAAGGAATTTAAGATAGTTAAATTTTAAAATAAAAGCTTCAAAATTTAAAATACCATAGCAGTGTTATGCACCGAAAATGATTATACCAGCACTTTTAAAAGAAAACTGAATCATTTCTTTGATGTAAGAAATAACGTAAATTCGCGGCATTTGACCTAACCAATTCAATGTTCTAGGATAATGTGAATTGTACCGAAACAAGTATAAAATATAAACAGAAAACGATTTATACTGATGGTTTATAAGGAAAGAAAAGTTATGATATACCACAAGCACATTATTATTATTTATTACTCAATACAGTAAACCATTAAAAAAGCTTAATGTAAGACTGGTAACGAACGCTAAAAACATTTAGGTACTTGACGTTTACCGAAAATTTTTTACAAGTAAATTCAGTGTACATTGGTATGTAAAATACATTATCAACATTGTTTATTTAATTAAGGACGTACCTTTGGAATTTTTTTAACTTTAAAAATATTTTAATAGGTACTGAAAATAAATGTACTGTATAAATCCCAAAAAGAAAAAGAAACTCCTTCTTCAAATATTTCTTTTACTCCCGCTCTTGATATCAAAAATCTTTTTCACCACTGTGTATTTATTTCTACTAAAGTTTTTTAAAAGTTTTAAGCAATTAATAAACAAAAAATTTTATGGCATAAGTTATAACAAAAATATTATTATTATGATTCTACGTAGGTAGACAAAAGTAGTAACCGTGTACTCTTAAGTACCTATATTGCCTATTTAATGCGCCGCGTTACTTTTAATAATAATATAATTATATTACATTATTACAATATTTGGCTAACTTAATACTTTTTTCACAATCATTAAAATATATGTGTTGTTTCATTTAAATTTAAATTATTTTATAATGATGCATAAATTGTTATTTTAATGATGGTAAATAGTTTAAAAATAAATATATGCTAAATAAATTACCTTCAATTTTAATTTATATTTATTTTGTATACTAAATTAAATACGAGAAAAAAAAATAAAATTATTAATTACGTGAGACAAATATAAACCTAACTTAGATATTTCGGTGTATTAGATGTTAAAATTTCAAACTAATTAATGAGATATTTTTTACAAATTGATAAATGTGACTAAGGTAGTAACTGTTGTAGTCTCTAGTAGATTTTATTATAGATAGTACCTATAATTTATAATTATAATTCATGATTACATGATTGTGTAGGTAACTCATATGAGTTTTACCAAATGGAAAATGGTCGATGGATAACTGTTAATGGCAATGATAGACGAATGCGTTAAAAAGATGATATCATGATAAGTATGAATAGAAGTTATAAGAAATATTGATTGTAGTGTGACTGGAAAATCAGTGAATAGGTATTACTTTATCTTTTAATTTAACAAAAAAATATTATACCATACATATTAACTATAGGTGTTATCGAAAATGTATCAAAATGTAAAAATCAAATATTTTATTTCCTTTTTTTTATTCAAAATAAAAAGGAAAATATCTTCAACCCAGTTTTTTTATTTCAATGATGTTTATTAAAAAATATAGGTGTATTATTCTAAGAAATCATGCAATGGTCATTTTTTCATTAATTTTATTTTATCATTACAATGTTAAATGTTTGTATCGAACAGTTCATCATTTTGAAGAGAAAAGTCAATCATTATTTACAAACAAATGTTACCCATATCAAATGACCGATTAATGTTAATAGTAAACAACAGCTTGGACGAATAAACAGTGTTGTAATGTTCAATAACTTTTTTGTGATGATAAGCTGTTAGGTTAAGGCGAAGAGCTCTACCACGTGATGTTTCTTGAAATTTCCAAGATTGTATAATAACTTAAAAGTCCAAGAAAAAATATAATTAAAATTAATATGTATATTGCTTTTTTTCAGTATAATAGAAATATTAAAGTTGGTTTTGTTGTATATTTATTGCACATATAATTCTTGAAAATCTTTTATGTTAACATATAATACTCAAAAAGGGATGTGGTCAAGGCAACTGAAAAACTATATTATCGTGTCTTCCATCATTAAATATTCCGTAACATGCCTCTGGTGTTGATTATTAAAAATTCATATTCTTTTCTATTATTTATGAGGAATAAGTGTATGAAAGGGATTCCTTAATCCACATTTTATAAAGGATGGAGATAAAACATTATTTATATTAAGAAATCATAGATATAAATTTGTCTTTTAATTTAAAAAGTTCTTAATGATGTTTTCATCAATGACATAATACTGAAGTCTGATATAATATGTATAGCTCTTAATTGATGATGGTATTTATAATCCACCCAAAATAATTAACATTGCGATTTGTTACAATATTGTGAATAGTTATTAAAATAAAATGTATGTTGATTAAAATATATAAATTACGTGTAAAAATATATTGCAGATTTTAGTCATCAAACAACGGT